AAACCTCTGCTGGCCAGATCACAGCGTCTCAAACCCCCAGCACAACCTGCCAGAAGGCACCGAGGGCTCAGAGCAGCCCTGAGTTCAAAGGGGCACTTTGGGCTAAGAGCTCCCAGTGAGCCTGATCATGACTTCAACCTGGGAGATGGGGACAGCAAGTGCCCCAGATGACCAGAGCAGGGCAAGGCTGCAGAGAGATAATTGGGTTTGTAGGTGCAGCCCTGGCTGCTGGCACAGCACAGGCTGCTCCTGTGTGTGGTGCAGTCAGAAAACACTTTAATGTTTGGATTTCAAGAAATGGAACCATCATAATGCATGTCTCCTAATAAAAGATGATAAGAAATGCAATACTGTAGCAACCCTATTGGCTTCTGTGGTTGCTAGGCTCATATTAATGTATAATGCATGCACACAGCTCCACATGCTGAGACCTGTCTTTGTGCAGATAATTACAGGTTCTTGCATAAAGAACCTGTAATTGCTGCAGGTGCTTCTATTTTAGTCCTGTACTACAGTGTCTTAAATTCAATACTGAAGTCACCCCAGCTCAATTCTCATTCTTCACCTCATCTTGGGTCACCCCTTTTCTCCAGGGCAGGTTATCTGACATTGACATGCAGCTGCTGTCCTAAGCATCAAGTTTCCAAAAAGCACATTCTGGGATGCAGTTACAGCACATGACGTGCACTTGGTGTCTCCCCACAAACCAGTGGTCTTTTCATGCTCCAGTTTTTGGATTTGCAGGGGCCAGATTCTGTTGCTCAGGAGTGGGATGTGACCCTGGACAGGTCTGAAGCCCATGTGCTGTGCTCTGTTCTCCCTGTCCCTGCTGCAGGCAGGAGCTTCCTCAAGGCAATTCAACAGGATTTCAGTGGAAATACCTGAGGGTGACACGAGTGCAACTGCAATGCAGGAGAGGGGTCCAAATCTGCACAGGTACAACCATGATTTCTATTTGGCTGTCACACTAGATGTGCTGCCCCAGCTTTCTGCCATTTCACCCTGCTTTCAGATCCAGCTCCTCTCTTACTGTTGGTTTTCACACTCATTTTGTCACACTTTGTACAATGTGACCAGTAATTGGTGCAGCTAATTAACTGTTAAAAGACAGTGTCTTGGTTTTCAGATCCAACCCATGGATCTGAGCAAAGCTTTCCTGAGGGACAAAGGCAGCTACAGGTCTGACCACCCCAAACTCGTTCATTAGAGCTGCACCTGGGAGATTCAGCTCCTCCCTTTGTTTTCCCTTTGAGGGCCTCAAGCAATGTTTTTTGCTTAGCTGGACATCAGGATGCCTTTTAGTGGACAGTTGGCATTTTTCAAGTGAAGATGGGATGAATAAAATCAAATATTTGTTTCAATTTGAACAAAAGTAATTTGTCTAATCAGACTGTCTTCCTCTGGCATCTATCCATGGAAATACAAACCACAAAGCAACAAACAACAGCTCTGGATTTTACACTGGAGTGCCTCCCTAAGAGACTGAGTGTCCTGTTCAGTACAGAGTTTACTGGGTTCCCAGGGCTCGCTTTCTTTATTTGAGGTTTGGTGCAACAGCAAAAAACTGCTCCTTCGTTTCTTTTGAAGACTGTAGAACATTCTTTGAGTAACTCTGAATCTTCAGAACTGGGGTTCTATGAATGTGTCCCCACAAAACCTGCTGTGCAGAGGGGATGTGTAACACCACTGCTGAACCGGCAGCTCTGGCTGCTCTGTGCCCAGCCAGGACCAGCTGCTGGTAGCCAGACCCCTGTTTTTGTCAGCCCAAGACCCCATTTCAGACAGACCTGTGTACAAGCTATAAATCATCAGGTCTTTTCTTTCACTTCCTTTTGTATAATGGCAGTCCTACTTTCCTTTGACAGTGCAGTAATTTAGAATTTGATGGTGGTTTAATGAAAATCCTGCTGTTCTTCTCCCTGGAATTTGAGAGTTGACATTACAAAGAAGTCCTTCCTTGACCTTTCCCTGTTGGCCACTCCTGGAAATTAAAGTGTCTTCATTTTAATGAGCTCAGAGTATTGGGGAGTTGCAAGAAAAGAAAAATCAACTTCAAAAATACCTAACCTCCTCTTGTGAATATGTCAGGACATGTTTTTAGATGCAGAGCTCTTACCTGAACAGGCTTGTTCTCTCCTCATTCTGTGGCTTCTCCAGCTGAGCTGTTTCCTGGCTCCAGCCTGTGCTTGATGATGCAAGGCCATGTTGACTTTGCATGAGGTTTGATGCAATGTATAGAGCAGATTTGTAAATCTCCCCAGCCTTTGCTCCCCTCTCTGTCACTTCTGCAGTCCAGTCCAGCTGGCAAACCAGGGCTGACCTGCCTCTGTGTTTGTGTGTCTATAAATTCATATAAGACTGTATATAAAGATAAGAATGTATCATGATATAATATGCAATACAAAAACATCTTTGCACAGCTTCAGGAGCTGTGTCCAACCTGGCAGGGCCATCCTAGAAATGAAGTGGAAGAAAATGAACTAAATAGAAATGACTGGGAATGGAATGAGTTCAGGAAATGGTGGGTTTGGGGCTCTCCTCTACTTGACCCTGTGGGTCCCCTTCTTGGCCATGTTGGTCTGAACTGAGCCCAGGGCAGGTTTGGGAGATGTGGGGACAGAGCCCAGCAGCTGCAGCACTCACCCTGGATAGGACAGGACTTCTGCCTTAGAGCCAGAGATGCTGCTCTGGGAGTGGTTTGGGACTATGTACCCACAGGAGTTTGTAAATGAAAATAAAATATTTGTCAGCAGTTGATGAAACTCAGCTGTAATTTTTTTTTTTTTTTTTTTTTACCAAAAAGCTTCAAAACTGTCCAGGCATCTTGTTGCCTTTCAGGGTACTGAAAAATTTCTTTATGTTACCCTTTTTGTTGGGTGAGATGATTTCTTCCAGGATCAGTGTTATGGGGTCAATCAGATTTCAAGCCCAAGCTCATGGCTATGGAATTGCTCTTCTTTTACCTACCTGAGTGCCTGATTAAAAATTCAGTTTGCTTTCACAGCCTAAGTCGAGGGTTGGGTACCTCCAGAGGAAATTCACCTCTCAGGTGTATTTTGTTTCCCCTGAGGTAAGAAGACATTTCATTTGAGTTCACTGAAAAAACCAAAGGTTTGGTCTCTACTGTGCATTTTGGGTTTCTGGTCCTGTAGGTGGTGTAAGCACAGCTGTGGAAGATCCTCTGCAGCTCCATGCCTTAAAACAAGTTTGCTGTGTGAAAAATTAGAATTTGTATAGGTTTGAAAGCTGTATAAATAATAGTGGTTTTTTAGTACTATACCAGGGCTATCTTACATACATATTTATTTAGTAGTAGGACCAAAAGCTTGGAAGAGAACTGTGTTTGCAAAGGGCTGTGATGGCAAAGGTTTCCTTCCCATGTCCACGTGCAGCACAAAATGGAAGCAGATATATAATGGAAAGTATGTGGGAAAGGTAATTTATTCTATCAATGTGAAATACCCACACAAACCAGTCTGGCTTGATATTTATATTTGCAGGGTTTATTAGCATAAAATAAAAAAATAAACCATAGTGGACATAAAATAAACCCCACCGGCATATGGGAAGAGTGTCAGCAAAGCTGTTCTTGCTGCTGCTTCAGTGCATTTATCCAACACTGGATAAATGTGTTTTTATCACTCCCAGACCAGCACTGAACAGTTTGGCTTTGAGGTGAGTCAAGGAGGAAATGACAGGGATTGTTGGTTGAGAAATCAGGGTAAAATCTGGATCAGCCATATGTAAACATGGACATGGTTATGTGAAGGATGAATGTGCAAATACAAAATACCCTCAGGCCTTAAATCATGAGAGTCTTGCAGTGATGCTGCCCCAGGCCAGCATTGCTCTGCAGGGCAGGACCTGCCATCAGCCAAGGGCTTCTTTGATTGAGGATGGCTTTTTTCTTCACTGGTTTTAGCCCATTTTTTAATAAAAAAAAAGAGATGAGCTTCACTGCCTCACCTGCAGGACAGCAGAAGACAGGGCTCACTCCTTCAATGCTGCCTCAAGTCCCAGTGTAAGGAAAGTGACTGCAATTTCCTTGATCCCATAAGAAAAAGTTTGCTATAGCTGATGGTTTCTCCCTGTGGCCTCTCGAGGGAGCTGGGAGGTGTTTTTTCAAGAGGAATGGTTAGTGGATACCAGCTTTGCCACTATAAATGAGGAGAGCAGCTGTAGTTTTTGCAGTCAGGTAAATACTGAGCCTGAGCACGGTCATGCCCGAGTAGGGACCTGGTGCTGTGCTCACCTGGCTGTGGCACAGTACAAATTAGACATGCCCCATCTCCCCAGGGATTTTACAGCTATGGAGCTGAGGCACATTAATCATCCTGCCATCAAAACAAACCTTCCTCCTGCGCTGAGGACAAAGCTGCTGCTCAGAGCTGGACTGAGAGCTGCAACAACAGGGGCTGTGTGAGGTCAGGGTGGAGGTGAGCTGGCACAGCTCCCTGGGCAGGCATGCAGAGTGGCTGCCCACATTCCCACAGGCTTAGCTCAGGCTGTGGCCCCTGCTAGCATGTCCATTTTTGACAATAAATACAAGCAGCTTTGCCACCTCCTCTGTGCGACTGTCAGCAGAAGGATGGGCATTGTCCCACTCCCCTCCAAGCTGGGAACTGTGCAGAAATTCCCAGCTGGAACAGACACATCTTCATGATGCTGTTCTCCAGCCCTCCTCCAGCAAACCCTTGCTACAGTGGGTAAATTGTGACCAAAGCAGAGACTCTGAGCTGCTTGGCTTGGGTTTTCACACTTGAGGATAAAAAGCAGGATTTGGGATGTAAAGATGTGCAGCTAATCAGCTGGAATAAAGGTCCAGAGAGCAGCACTGGCTGCACTGGAGTCAGAGCTCCCAAGAGAGGCTGAGGATCTGCCCTCCAAGCCAGTCAGAACAGCTGGGTCACTCCTGCCAGGCCATGTTCAGTCTTGAGGACAGGACTGCTTTTGGAGGCAGCCACATTCATCACCCACAGCAAAATTTAATGAACAGCCAATCTTTTTTGGCAGCTTTTTATTGCAGGGAGGGCAGAGGGTTTATGTGAACTGGATTTGTGAAGGCAGTTGTACAAATATTTGTTCTCTGCTCCTTAGCAGCAAAGGGATGAGTACAAACAACATACCCATTTAAGGTCCCACTCACTTGTTACAAAAGAATTGATCCAATTTTAGTTGTGTTATGGGCCTCCAGCTTGGTCTGCAGGTTGTGTAAGGTGTAGCTCAGCCCCATTCCATAGCCTGGAACAGAGGCAAAGTCATGACAGAGCAATGCTGCAAGGATGGAAATCTTCCTGCACAGGGAAGAGCTTTGGCCTGGGAAGTGGCTGTAAAAAGAGCACTTTTGGGATCTCCAGTCAGTGGAGACAATACCTTCTATACCTCAGGTAATCTCAAGCATCCATCTGCTCCCTGGAAGGCAGGATCAAGCCATGGTTGTTTACTCAGTGAGGGAGCTCCCTCCTGCAGGCACTGCAGCAGGTGGTTTGTTCTTACTGTAGGGACAGAAAATTCTAAAGACAAAAAAAATCAGAGGAAAATTTTAACATGTGGATTCAGTGCCCAGATTAGATATGGGCTGGTCTGTAAATGACCAAGGATCAGATCAGATTATCAAGACTTGTGTAAGACCTCTCCCCCCCAGGCTGGATTAAACCCTATGCCGCACATTGGAAAATGAAATACTGCGTAGCTACTCCCAAAGTGAACATAGTCCATTCCCTTGTGTGATTCTTCCCACAGAAAAAAATACTGTTTGATTATGGCATTAAATAGTGTGCAATATTAGACAGAGACAGGCTAAGACAGACTTGACTTGAATTTTGGTGCTCCCTAAAATTAAGGTCTTTGATTTTGCAACTTCAGTGCTGCTCTTTTATAAGTGGAGAGATTTTGTGCTTAAAAGTGTTTAATTTTAAACCCCTCCTTATGCTGAAGAGAATAGGTCTCTGCTGTGACTATAGAAAAACTGTGAGAAAAAGAGCAGTTTGAACAAACTACCTTGGATTATTCCAAAACCATTTAGCCTTGATTCCCTTTAGTGATCTCATACTGGACTTTTATCATCACTGTAATTTGATATTACTATTTTCAAATTAAAGTGCAGGAACATTTCTGGCAGTTGTTTTTGGTAGGTTCCCATTAATGTCTCCTTAACTGGAGACAGAAAGAGTTAGCAGCACACATTTAATTATGGAGATGTCTGCATGACAGCATAAAATCTCAAATGAAAAAGAAACACTTTTAATATGAATAATCATCAGACTTAAAAATCTCAGTCATCTTTAAATAGCAATATATTGATGGCTAAAAGCAGCACTAATGTGTCACGCACTATACAGCCTGGAATTGAACAACCATTTATTTTAACCTTCCCTGCTGCAGGAGCTGCCAGTGGGGGCACAGCTCATTGCTCAGTTTCTGTGGGATTAATGTCAACATCCAAAAGTTGAGCCTTTGCCCCCCTCAGAACTCAAGAAAAAAAGGAAAGATATTAACTCCTCTAGAGTATCTCCTCTCCTCTGCTAAGGGGCATTTTCCTCAAAGGAAGCATTCTCCTTTTGGTCTCTAAGGGCACTAAGGAGCTTTCAAATGGTTAATGTTAGTGCAAATGTTCCCAGTACAGGTCTACTGCCAAAATCTGGGAATTTGGACTTCCACTGAAAAACTGAAAATTTATAAATTTTGGATAGAGACTTTTGTCATTTTGCCTAAACCTCCACCGAGGTTTTTCCAGTGCCAGGTTGCTAATAGCTCTGGGGTTGTTTTCTAGAATTAAGTAAAATGCTATTACAAGACTCCTGTAAAGTTCCAAAGAATTGGAGGCAGTTCAGAAACCACAATTCCTATTTCTATCAGATGTGAGGCTGTTTGAAATGAGCCTTGGGCAGTTGGTAGGAGCAGGACAGGGCACAGAGGCCACCATGCTGGTTTGTCTGGGACACAAGCAGCCCTGTGCCCTCCCTAGCCCCACTCTCACACCAGGGCTGTATCTTGCCCTGTAATTTATAAAGCTGATCCTGCTGAAACCATACAGAAAGGAGGAGAGTGCTGTGACCTCAGGCAGGAGGAACAGCCGGAGCACAGCGCAGGAATTCCTGGGCTTTGATCCCCTGCCAGCACCACGGCCCCAGCGCTGGGGAAGCTACTGAGGAAACAGAGATTGAAGGCATGGCCTTCCTCCAAGGCTCTGGGTTCTGTTCCCAAAAATGTGGCCTTGCAATTTAGCACCCACAAACAACAGATAAGAGGTTGTAACACCCAGTGCAGCAGAATAAGGTTAGGCCCTGGTGAGGATCCCCACTCCCCTCCGTGGGCAACCAGAAGCAGCTCAGAAGTGACAGCCCCAGGGAAGGAACAGTTTCTGGAAAGACATGATCTGTGCCCACAAAAATCTCTATTTCAGCTCTTCATCAGGGGCACTGTCTGTTTATTTCTTCTTCTTCCATTCTTCTTCTGATTTTGTTCAACCAGCCTCTCCTTACAAATATTGCACTGAGCCTCAAGACCCAGGAATCTGGAGGACAGGAATTTACTGTCTGAGGGATTTTAAAACCAAGTTGAGGGACTCCTGTGCCCCCTCTGGATTGTTGTTTACCCAATCACTTTCCAAATGCTCCTAAAAACTTCCTAAGTATTAGGGACTTTTTTTCCCTTTAGTTCTTCCAGCAATTATGTGAGGGATCAGAGTCTCATTTGTGTGAGTCCAATCCCTCAGTAATATCACTGGAATGCTGTAGACTTTCATCCACCACAGCAGAAAGAGAAGTCAGGTCAGAGTCTGTCTGAAAACTCATCCCTTCCATCGAAGATAACACAATTTATAACTCTGACTCAAGGACAGACAGAACTAAGTGGATGGTGGATGTAAGGCCTCACAAAGCTTGCTAGCAGCAGTAACACTTGTTTTGCAACCACTGCTGGGAGCAGAGTAGATAAATTTGCACTGAAATCAAACTTCTTGATGTCTCTGTTTCTTGCAAGTCTTCTGACCTCTCAGCAACTTGGCCTGGCCATCAGCAACTAAATGATATATCCCAAGAGTTTCCTGCTGTTCAGAAGGGACGTGGTGAAACAGAACCCTCTTTACTCTTTGTAACACACCATAACCAAGAAACAGAACATTTTGACTTTTGTCCTTAAATAACAGTCTGCAGAAACACTGCAGAAACAGTCTCTAAACTTATCAGGGGAATTGCAAGTTAGACAACCACTCAGATCCTCTCGTCCCTGCCAGGCACTCTGCTCCCTCTTCCCAAGGCTAACAAGCATAATTCAGACTGGGAGATATAGTAGGGACAGTGTGTCTGATGTTTGCTAGGCTATATTAAAGAACATGTTCATTTTGCTTCTGAATGATATTTCTAAACATTTGCAAGCAATAGAGAAAAATGGATTCATATTTTATTAAGTCTGTTTACAAAACCTAGAAGACCTGAGACAACACTATGCGTTGGAGTACAGATGTTTTCTCCCTCTCCAAATGCATTTAGGAAAACTAAAATAAATAACACTGAGAGGCTGTCAGCCAGCTGGCAGGAAGGGCAGGGTGAGTTCACAGGCCCTGTGCAGCCCCTGCCAGCAAGGCTGAGCTCCTGTGCAGATGATGCTTCATGACCTGCACAGGGCAGTCAGGCACCCCTTCAGTTTCACTTACACTCACCTTGATCTTTCTCTCCTACATTTGGGGTTTTTTTTAAATATTGAGAGAACTAAGTATCATTTTAAACTGAGAGACTATCCAACCAGAGTAAAATTTCAACCATTTAACAACTGACAAGAAATCAATGTTTTCTTTTGCTAAATATGTTTAAAATCTCTAAGCAGTCCAAATGGGATGTAGGAATCATTTCCTCTCAGATGACAAATGACAGGCTAAATTCCACCCACTCTGTTCACTCTGGCCTGACCTAGGGCTGATAGGAAACAATGAGCGTCTTTCCGTTAACTTAAATGGATTTTGTGTCAGCCCCATTAGGTAACAGCTTATTTCCCTTCATTAATTGTGAAGTCAAAGATGAGGAATTAAGAGTGATTGGCACATTAAGAGTGGATGGCAAACATTCACAGAGCAAAATCCCAGTGATGGGGAAAAGAAAGGAGGAGAAAAGATTTTGTGTATGGATGTTATAAACATCAGTTAAAGATGCTCCACTCTGGACCAGGATTCAAACACAGAACTGCTTTATTTTGGCTTTGGTACAAGGGTGAACATTTTCCATTTACTTCTGTAAAGGGAAGAATTTGAGGATATATTAAAATATTGGGTCCAAAGAGAAATAATTTAGTTCTGCACGGGTAACACATGCTAAAAAAAATCTTCAAAAGCCTCCACTTCTGGGTGCTAAAGTCCTACATCTGAGAGAGGGCAAAAATGGTCTTTTTTTCCCCCAAGGATGGGGTACAGCTGGGGCTTTTCTTTGCAGGCCGCAAAAATGAGACAACTGGAGGATGGGGTGAGAGACCTCATCTCTTAGGATCTAATGACACAGAGAGGATATACTGTTACAATACAGCTGAGTAATTCTTTATTCTCTCTTGTAGACTTCCTAAAGGCAGGCTACAGCACAGATCCTCATGACTCTTATCCCTTTGGTTTAAGAAACTGTGATTTTTCAGGTGTTCTCCAGTCTGAAGCTGAAGGCAATGGCAGCTGCTTAGCTCCTGAGTCAGGTTGTCCTGATTTGGCCTTTCATATAAAATTCTCTTTATGAGTGAATTTTACCTTTAATAACTTGCTCTTTGCCTGTCAGCCAAAATTCCATACTGATTTCTGCTACAGAAACTGATAGATGTTCCAAGGGCTGTGGGCCACCATCTTTTTTATGGTACAATTATTAAAAGCCAAACCCTTCTCACATTTTTTATTTCTAAAAAAGCCTTGAAATCTGGCACCTTTATGACTAAAGCCTCCCAAAGGAAGCACTACAGAATCAATATCTGAAAGCAGGATGCTTCTGCATTTTTTGAAGTAAAAGTTCTCTGCAGTCATTAACAGACTTGATTCATCTGATGACTCAGAATTTGTGCAGCTGGTCCAAGGCCATTTCAGAGACTGAAAAGTGCTGCTTTTCTCTCCTTCTCTAAAAAAGTGATCTTTTCTCAGTTACATGAAGAAGCACCTCCTGCCCTCGTGTCAACTTCATTTAAGGAGAAGGTTATATTCAGAACATGCAACAGTAAAGAATTTGATTAAAAAGATGAATTCATATAAAATTTGACCTTCATCGGTTTTCCCAATAAGCATTTTGAAATCTTTGAAATGTCCTTTTGTTTACTGGAAATGCAATACATTGTAGGATTATTGCAATACACAGGCCAAATAGAAGAACAGACTGTGAAGATAGAACAAATAGAACAGACTGCAAAATAATGTTTCTCCATTATTTAACTGTAATTAAATTTCATTAGTTACATAGATAATCATATTATAATTTCATGTTTGTCTCATGTTTTCAGGAGTTTCATGCTTATTGATTTGAAGTTCCTGAATCAGATACATTCTCTTTACATTTTGGTTCAAGTTTTTTAAACAATCAGAGCTTACATTTTCTGTGATGCATTTAGGTTTTATTTTCATTATAAAATTCCAGTCTCACACCAGATTTTAAATGTTAATAATTCAGCCATTGCTTTTGAAGGGGTTCTATGGCTCCATTCACTGATGATTTAAATAGTCAATTTTCAATCATCACTCTCTTTTGAGAGTTTATAGCTGTGCTATTCCCTTCCCATTAAATGCTGTCACAGTAAAGATTCCTATCGACTGGAAGTACTTCGATTTTATTCCCCATGGTAACTGTTTATTATCCTCACAAAATCTTGTGGGTTTGTGGAACATGAAAAATACACTTCCCTCAGAAATAGTGACAAAACCTTCAGCAGAATTTGACATTTCATTATCCGAACTAATGTAATCTAATACAAGGCCCATCCCTCTAAAGTCCCTTGTTTCACTTGCAAGTCTTTCTACAATGTGAGTAACAATGCTGTAATCCCATTTCAGGTTTAGTGCTGGCAGCAAGAGCTGGGACATCATGTAAATGTTTACATTTCATCATTTCCTGCTGTAAGTGGCTGTCTATGTCAAGGATCAAGCCTTTCTTCGATACTTGTGTCACCCTGGAAAAGTTGTCCAGGCCAGAACTAATTCCATTAGTGCTTGGAAAGCTATTTATAAGCCTGCCTTCAGTGGGATGACCTTATTAATTAGATTGGGGGAAGGCTGAGGGAGGGAGAGACGCTCATTTCACAAGACCATTGACATGCATTTCCAGAAGCGATGCCTCTCCTTCACACTATGCTCAAAAAGACTGTCAAATAAAGCAGAAATCTGGGTCAGTTTGCAGCAAGGAAAAAAAAAAAGCTCTATCCATGCTGTCTGCAGGACACAAAGCATAAACTTTTCACAGGGTAGTTCTGCTGCCATATGTCCTTGAACATGCTAACAAAGTCCAAACCCTGTATTCTCTAAATCCAAAAACAGGAAAGAGCTTTACCACTAAAGCTTCTGAATCAAACCTTTCTGAAACCATCACCTTCCTCCATTATCATGCACACCCCTAAGACAAGAAGGTTAAATCCTCATATTCTGTTTGTTATGAAGTCAAAAGAAAGCAGAAGGGTACTTTTCTCCCCCTTATTTACCCCACATGCTTGATTTACTCTCCAGTTTAGACTGGGAGTGGAGAAGAGTTTCACCTGCCAAACCCATTTCCTGTGCCTCACTAAGGCTGTGCTGCTCTGCTCCCTCCCCACTGCATTTAATTGGCTCCCTGAGCCATGGTGTCCTGCTCTCTGCCTCTGAAGCCAGCCCATCACCACTGCCAGCTCCAAAAAGTGAGTAGCTGGGAGCATTATCCATGTCTTGTCACTAATACATCCATTTTGGCAACTGAGGAACTGCTGCTCTCTTATCTGTTTAACAAATCAGGGGACTGGTTATTGTGCAGGCTTGTAATAAGAACTCATCTGTGCAAAACAGCCAAAAGAAACTCAGCTTTTGTGCAGGATGTTTACTTTTATCAATATAACCTCCTGACAGAATCTCATTCACCTTTGGCATGCCAGTGGCAATTACATTTTTCATCTTGGGTGGGGAAAAGGAAGCTTTCAGAGCCTGCCTATTCATTTGATGGATTTGTACAACCCAGGACAATTTTGCAATGCAGGGAAAACTACAGACCCTGTTTCTATGTCCCTCTTTGCATAATCCTATACAGATATTCAATGTCTCTTTCAGAATTCAGTATGTCTTTATGTGACAGTTTTATGCTCATCAAACTCCTCCACCTCTAGACAAGTAGACAGTGCTTGTGAAGGGCGGGCAGGAGACTGTACATGGGTACAATTTGACCTAAAAATAACAAGGGCAAACCACACAGCTCATGTACTCCTGAGTGTCAAGAATTGTAATTAGTAACAGATTTGCTATGCAAACACCTATGTGGTACCAAATGGGTGCCTGCTGGGTATCAGACTGGGATTGCCTGGTTCATTTTGGAAACCCATTTTACAAATACCTTACAGAACTAAAGTCTCTTTGTCCCATGAAAACATAATAGGTTAAATGTCTTATTAATCAACCCTTGCCTGTTCATGTTCAGTATGTTGCTCCTTCCAAGCACACTACATGACTGGGCCCCACAACAGGGATGCATTCAGTAAGAAAAGTTCTTTCATCCTTCTTGTAACCCTGAGTCATTTATTAAAATGCATTTCTGGCTGAGTGCACAATGACATATTTCTAGTCTTAAGAATGTTTTTAATCAAAACTACTTAAGGTATTTGAAGGTTCTGGTTTTTCTTACTTTTAAATATGAGTAACCAAACTAACATGGTTTTTGCTTCCTTAATCTTGTATGGTGAATGCCAATTTTTAGGACTTAGACTTAATGATTCCTTGGTCCATAATTAGAGCTTTATTTTATTGCCATGTTTTTAAGGCACTCTGATTCATTCTATCATCAAAAACAATTACAGAGATGAGTTCAACAAGAGTCACTGGTACTAAAAATATGTTATTGGTCAGGACTGCTCTAACAATACCTGTGCTGCGTAATTTAGTGCTCTCCTTAATAAACACTGACTTCCAGTAAAAAATCTTCCAGTTTCATCACCACTGTCATGATGGTTGGGGCATTCTTACCCTGGTTCCACTCAGTCAAGCTTCATGATATGAATGTTCTTATTTTCATTCAAAGTAAACAAGTCTGAACAGTATTTTTTTTTTACTGTATCTTGAATTTGTATATCTTTGATGCTCCAGCAACAGGAAGTTACACTGGTTTGAGATCTGTGTCTACAGAACAAAGGTGGAAAAACAGGCTTTGAAAAGTGTAAGGAGAAGAACTCTGACACATTTGTGAGTAGAGTCTAGATCAAATATCCAAGGCAGCAGGGAAGGAAATGAAAATGACAGTGGCTTGGGAGAAGGCAGAAGAAAGAGTCAAAGAGGAGCAGAAGGAATGAGAGGAGATGGAGACAAGATGCAACACCCCTATGTGTACCTTTGAAGGTGTCAGTGCACTTATTTTACAGGAGTCAGCCCAGTTTTTTTGCCAGAACCACAAAGCAGCCAGCCTTCCAGTCATGGCGTACACATCACATGTTCCAGAACATTTCTACAACCTGAAAGTGCAAATTACTGGGGAGTTACAGAGGAATGCAAGGATGGGTGTGTGGTACTGAGCAGAAAGGCAGCTGCATCACCACAAGCCCTACCTCAATATAAAGCCAGGATACTGGGATAGTGCTGGCACTTCAGCTGTTGAAATGCAGTTGTGTGCAGATCTGGGCTCTTCAGCAGCATTCTCAAACTTTGCTCCTTTTGGATTAACAGATAACATAGGCAATATGAAACTTTATTACCAGTGACACTGCAAAATTAGATGACAGATTATACCAATATATTAACAGTGATACCTCACTGAAATTAATGGGACTATTTATCAGGGAACTAGCTTGGCTCTGCATTTCAGGAGCTCTCCTTTCCAGCATCAAGCTCTGCCCTCCTTTTTCAGAAAAGCTGAGCAGCTGTCTGTGGAAGTCTTCTGGCCCAGCCTCACCTGTCCTAGCACAACCAAGCCCCTGTTGGAGAACAAAATCTGCAATTTGTATCAGAAGAGCTTATTCTTTACTGGAACTAAAGAAACTGAGGGGCAAGTCTTGCCATGGCAGTTTACAAACTATTACCACCTAATCCTTTGCTCACTGCTGGCACCAGGGAACAGCTGGTAAATGGGGACAGCCATGAACAGTCAGATTGAGCCTGACATGCAGCCAAGCCATGACGCTCACACTTCCCTGTGCTGGAGGTGGTTACCTGGCAGAGGTGACACGTTTAGCTTGGGAGATGACTTACAAACCATGGCACAGCTGCCAGCAGATCCTGTCTGCATCAGTCCTACCATGAAAGATGTTGACACTGAGTATGGTTTATTTGTCTAAACTCGTGCATTGCCTTGGTGTGCATCTACTAATCGCTTTTGTTGAGGGCTGGAACTGTTCAAAATCCCACTGGAAACAAGATATTAGATTAGAAAAATAGCATAAATAGAATTCTAGTAATAATAATATTAATAATCTCCTAATTCATGCCCTATTTGTACTGTACAAGGCAACGCCACGTTCACCTTACAGAAATAAGCTTGACATGGTCCCTTCACTTAGGGAAATAACCTTTGCTTGGCAAAGTTAGGTTTGAGTAGGTAAGATTAGGGCACAGAGACGGGAACCCCGCCAGCCAGTTTCTCTCTGCCAAGCAGTCTGGCCACTGTAACCTCGATTTGGAGCGGAGTTAATGATGCCGTGTGCAGGTTAATGTGACAGCAAAGCCACGGCATTTTTCTGTGCTCTCCTGTGCCACGCTGGGATGGACCCCACGGGCGGGGGGGTGAAGTCACCCGGCTCAGTCCGTGCCGAATCCGTCGCAAAAAGGCTCCCATAGCTCCCAGACTGGGAAGAGGAAGCGTGCTGCCACCGCCAAGCCCTCCTCTCTGCTGAACGAGCTGAGACAATGGCGATTAAACCGCTGTCCCCAGCAGCCCCCCGGTGCTGCTCCATCCCTTGCGGAGCCGCAGGACGAGCTGCAGCCGGGCCCTGGGCACCGCCAGCCCCGACCCTGCCGCGGCCGCTGCCGCCCACTGCTGGCCCGAGCCCCGGCCCGGCCGGGCCACCCTCGGGAGCCAGGCCGCGGCTCCCGCTCCCAGCCGGGCGCTCCCCCCAGACCCATTCCCCGCTCCCGCCCCGGCGCTCCCCCGGCCCCGTTCCCCGGTGCCCCGGTCCCACCTCGCAGCGGCGATGCCGCGGGTGCCGCGCCCGGCCGGCTCCTCCCGCGCTCGGCGGCGGGGCCGGGCCGCGGTGGGCGGGCCGGGGCGGGGGCTGCGCGGAGCCAGGGCCGGTTAAAGCGGCCGCCGCCCGCCCGGCCCCGCGCTCAGCCCGCCCGGCGCCCGCCGTTCTGCGCGCCGCGGCCGCGCGCTCGCCAATGCGGGCCCGGAGCCCGGCCCGAGCCGCCCCCGGAGCCGCCCGCAGCCCCCCGGCCCGAACCCCCGCCCCGGACCCATGCGGCGGCTCCGGGAGCGGTTCCGGAGGTGAGCTCGCCGCGACCCCCGGCGGGGATGGGATCCTCCTTCCTGCCCGAGGCGCTCCCCGCCGGATGGGACCCCCGGGCGGGGTGAGGGGTGGGTGGGGGAGCCGGGGTTTTCTCGCCGGTGCCGGACGGCGAGGGCAGCGAGGTCCCGGGGGGCGCGAGTGGGCGGGGGTGAGGAGGGTCTTTTGTTTGTGTGTTTGTTTGTTCACCGCCGCCGTTCAGTGGGTGAAGGTTCGCGCATCCGGCCCTGTGTCACAGCCGCGCATCGCGGCGCTCCCGCGGGGCCCGACCTGTGGCTCCTGGGCCGGGCTGGGTCAGCACCCGCCGGCTCCGTGTGGCCCCGCGGGGCCATGGAGCTCCTTGTTCTGCTGCCTCCGAGGGCGCATTGAGTATCATGGAATCGCAGAATGCTCCGGGTTGGAAGCGCCTTAAAGCTCATCTCGTTCCAGCCCTCTGCCATGGGCAGGGATACCTTGCACTAGACCAGGTTTCTCCAAGCCCTGTCCAACTTGGGCTTGTGTGCTTCCAGGGATGGGACAGCCGCAGCTTTTCTGTGACAGGGCCTCAGCACCCTCACGGGGAAGAATTGCTTCTTAGTATCCAATCTAAATCTATGTTTTTTCAGGTTAAAAATCAACCTTCATTCAGCTTTTAGATGCTGCTCATGTTCACGGGGAGGTTGATCGGGTAACTGCGGTCGTGGTTCTTGGATAAGTATCTGTGGGCTTTGGTTCCTCATTGTCCACATGCCAGGCCAGTAACTGTTGATGGACAGCCCATCTCCTGGGTGAGGCCAGTTTCACAAGGCTTCCCTGACCAGGTACCTGCCATAGGCCTGCCTTGCTCTCCTTTCACCAACATGCTCAAAAAACTGAAACCTAAGTATTAAAAGGGAAATAAAACTGAAAGAGAAAAAAATATTAATGCGGTCGGACGTGGTTTTTGTGCTAGCCCACACCTCGGCTGGCTGGTCCCTTGCCCCTGAGCTCAGATGTGCTGCAGCACCTGGGGTGACTTGTGATTGCTGCCCACTCTTTGCTTGAATTGCTGCCTTTCATACTTGCCAGAAGGCTGGGGAGGCTTTGCAGAGGTCAGTGGGATGCACAGACACTTTTTTCCATGACACAATCTATGTATGATAGCAGAGTTGTTTGTGGGTTCTCAGAGTATTGCAGGTTTCCTTTTATCTTTAGTATCGTGCTGTAAGTACATGAACCTTCGCACAGCGTGGGATTTCACTGATATTTCCAAATAAGGGAACTGCTTCTGCACTGATCTGAATTATTTCTGTGCCTCAGATGTTGAGAGATAGTAAAGATTATGTGAACAGTTACAAACCACAGCTAGATACTGTCAAATCCAGGAAGGAAGGTGCCTACTGTGGAGGAAGATGGATCTACTTTTAACTGAATGAATTTGGTCAAAGCCAAATTTGGTACAAGCACGCTTTTAATAAATCCTTTTGTTTCTCTTCAAAATCTAATCTGAATGGTCATCAGATCTGTTCTGACCTGCTTGTATTTTTTCTTTTTTTTTGTTTTCCTCTTGAAAACAAAGAGCTTAGGTAACATCCTAGGTACTGAAGCATACATTTAGATAATGAAGCAATTTTTAACCCTATTTGATGTATGCTACTGCCGGTTTTGTGGAGTTACGCCCACGTTGTTGCAGTTTCTCATATGCTGTTATTTGTGGTTTATTAGGTCTAAATGGCTTCTCCTGCTGCTGGAAAACACAAGGAAAGAAAAGCACAAAAAGAGGGAATGTGTTTTTAAGCTGGTGAAAGGAAGTATGAGGTCTTTTGAGCTGAATAAAGGAAATATACTTCCTGAAAAGACTAAAAAATCCAGATCTTTGAGGCCATTATCAGTGCTTGCTGTTTTTAATGACATTTTGCTTTATGGTTAAAACAATAATTCATTCAGCAGATGGGAATCATCAATAGAGCAAGATTTGATTTCTCTTCTGCAGTTTGGGGTCTAAGCTTGTTGTAATGCCAGACAAATGTCATACAGATATGTGCAATGGATTTGGGGTTTTGTAATTTATTTTTTTAAGCTGGCTTTGCATGCAAAGACAAAGCATTAAGAGCCCTCGGACTTTCCTTCTGCTTTGTCTCTGAGATACTATCTTCTCTTAATTCTGGAATCTCTGGGAAACATACAGCATCTGTTCCTTGGAAATGAATAGCGGCTTGAGATTAGGGTCTGTCACAAAGGATGGATCAGTCTGTATGTTTAGAATTTAAAATATTTAAAGTATTTCAAGATCAAAGATCAAGTAGCATGAAGGGAGGGGTGTGAGTTTCTTCCCTCTTGTTTTAAATTGCTGTCTCTCTCACTCAGTACCTTTTTTCTGCTTATATTGGGAGTATGTCCATCAGAAGTTGTTTGTTTGCTGTGAAATTCTGAGTCTTGAACTTCCTTGGCCTTGAGCAGGTTCTGAGCATTGAGAATTTAAATTGTGAAAAGGAACTCACAGCTCAGTTCAGTGTGAAAGCATTCTGCTCTCCTGGCTGGCTACAAGCAGTTCTCAGTCTCTTAATTTCAGAAATTTCTTATTCTGGTATTGAAGGCATTAATATTTTATCTTGAATATCTTGGATTGTCAATATCTTAAATGGAGAAGTGTTTGTGCATCCTTGTGAGATGTGCTGCATATCCTCTGATTAAATGATTCTGGTTTCACTAGATCTGCTAGTAAAAAATACATTAGAGATTTACTAGAGAATCAAAAAGGCTTCAGTTAAAGACATTTCCTGTAAACTGTATCCCAGTTCAGTGGGACTTTGTCAGAATATCTTGCATTTGATAATAACCTTAATGGCTGTGTTATAGAGAGCCTTTGTTTAGGAGTGAACAGCATCTGAATGCTCTTTACTGAGCTTCCACTTTTAGGAAGGTGAGATTATAATTCTCACAATTATCTTTTCCAGAGGAGGCAAACGTGACCTGTAGATAGGAGGAAGAACAATGTCCCTGTGTTGCTGTATTCACAAGGCAGGAAACAAGCATCCATTGTTGGTGGTGGCATGGGGTTTGTTTGCTTATTTATTTATCTTTAAGAAAGAGCAGAGCTGTTTTGCCTCTAGAATGTGAATAAGCAACCACATTCTTCTACCTTTGTGTTGCGATATCATATGTGTCTATAACTGCAGGAGTATATGACTGACTTTAACTGTGTGTGTCAGAATAATTTTCCTGGTTTTGATGAGCACATCAGTAATATCACAGAGCAGCTATTTTCAAAATCCACATCTGTTTCTTAAGACATTAAGCCTAAACTGTCAAGCTGGAAATGAAATGAACTCGTGAGAAGCACTGGCTGGCATTTTGCCCTTCCAGCCACCTCGTTAATGATCCGTCCTCTGAAGTTGTTCCTGATAACGTTTATAAATAGTTAATTATCAAAAGGCAAAGAGGAATAACTCAAAGTTTGCTTTACTAAGACTGCTGCCTGTGAGCAGTGACCTGAGCAAATGTTTTCAGCCTGTTGGAGACAATCCCTCTCAGAAGGGAGAGGTGCAGGTCTGTCAAATGTGCAGCAAAGTTAGTGCTGGGGCATTGTGAGACCCATTTCTGCAAGGCAGAGGTAAAACTGAACACTTCCCCTCCTGCCAAAACACACTGGGGGTGTTGGTGTTATTGGTATAAACACTGAGGTGAAGGGGATGGGTGAGGTGTTAGTCCAGCTAATGCTGGAGCTCTGGTACAGAATATTTGCATCATTCCTGTGCTGCCACAAACAAAACAGGGAAAAAACCCAGCTCTGTGTGTAGGTAACAGAGCAAGGATAGATTTGTTCCTGTCTTTGTGTTCTGTTCTACAGCTAATAGATGTCTTTAAATTAGTGACAGTAAGAGGTCCTAATTTCTGAAGTGTTAGTGCATAATTCTAAAATCTAACATTACCCCTAGATCCAGTGTGATTGCTTTAGAAAGATGCAGTGTATTTCCTACTGAAAAAAGGAAAAAAATTAAAAGTAGGCTAATGTTGGATAATAGAAGATCCCATTAGGAGGCATCAATTATTTATAGATTTGTATATGATAATAGTATCTAACATAGGAATTTGGAACACCAGAAATTATAAAGCTACTGCAGAGTATAAAATTATTCCTTTTGGTTCTTCAGGTTTCAGTTTGACTTTTTAAATTTTTTTTTACTTCTTGTGAGACTTCCAAAGTACCACCACAGAGAAAAGCAATAATATTCTAGATGTGATAAGTGAAAAGTTTCCCATGACTTTGAATTTATGAAGTTGGACAAGGGCAGTCCAAGCCTGGCCACTCACTGAGCCAACAGATGCTTTTATTTTTAAACATCTTCCTGACTTGGAAGCAGAACTGAGCAAACTGAATGTTCCATCTTTAGAGGATGCAGAGATGGTGTTCAGCAGCTGTTGAAGACATACAAGCACTGGGAATAAAGTAATTTTCCAGATATTCTGCAAGCCTTTGTGATGACAGTGTCATTGTCTTCTTGGAGAGGAGAACAAGGTGCCATTTCTCCCTGACAAAAGAATTGCCATTTTTAACTATACATTAACTCCTTCAGGGTTATTAATGTGCTAACAACCATTTATGTTCTGTGTCTGTGAATTAAATCCACATTTTTCTTAGCCTTTGTATTAGTACCAATGAAACTGTTTCTTGAAATTGCCATGGTTTGGGGAGGGATCATGACACTGTTATTTTCCCAATGCTGCTACATTTTCATCTATTCAGTTTAGAAAAAATGGTTCACAAGTCACTTAATTAATCAGTCAAGAAAACCAAGTGAAATATTCCAGAAATCTGGAACTGCTTATGCCAACTGTAAAATTTGGGTTGGATTTTTTTTAGTTGTTTGTTTTCCTCTGTTTTGAGGTTGGCCAGTATTTTATAGATGTCATAAAAATAGGAGTCATTTTGATTTTAACCAGGGGGGGCATGGGGAAAGACATGTTTGTCTAACAAGCTTTTTGTATAAATCTAGGTAACAAAGCTGCTCTTGGTTCTGAGTATACAAACATGTTCTGTATTTCTTGTGAAGCTGTTCCTGGCTACTTGGATACCTGACTAATTGTCAGTGCATAGTTTTAGAAAAACCTGGAGTAAACTGGAATTACTGGTGAAAGATAATCACTTTTGTAGACACTCATCAGTGCTGGGATAACAGACTGGAGCTGGAGAAGTTCACAGCTTTCATTTGACTGTTGCATGTAGGTGTGTGCTGTCTTTTACAGGTGTTCCTACGCAGATTTAAATTGTTGAGTTTCACAGGAAACAGCTCAAGTGTTTGGGTTTTTTAATACACTTAAACAAAACATTTGCATTGGCAAATTCTTCCAGAACTTTCTAGGGTTTCATCATATTCTGTTCAGCTTGCATGGACTGCATTTGATGTGCTTGTTTGTTTGTTAGAATGTTTGAAAATTCTTAGATAAAAAGATGGAATATCTATGGCAAACCTCTTGAAATGTTTCCTCTTCAGAACTGACCATTAGAGTCTCCTTGCATCATGCCCATGTAGGAGATGTTTGGATCTCAGTTACAGATGTAGGATTGAAAAAATGAGCCACCTCATGCTCCAGAGATGCAAATACTGTTTGCTATAGGAGTCAAAATCATTGTTCAGTGCTCCAAACTGGAATATTGCTGCAGTTTCAAGAACTTCTTAAAACAAGTTATGACAGCTATGATGAACTCCATATTTCAAGAATAATTTGAGTTCTTGCCATGTAATTTAAATAGGAAATGTTTCATTCTTTCTCTGACCAAACTGTCAGAAAAGAGGGAGTCTGACTGCTTTATGTGAACTCCTGATTAAAGATAACCATTCCCTGCACCAGGCAGTCACAGGAATTTATTTAACATGTGTGTCTGGTAAGAGACTTTACTTGGGAGAACTTGCAATTTAAATTGCAGTTACTTTGAACATGTCTGTACTTACAATTTTCAATACTACCAAGTTGGAAGTATTCCTTCATTTCCTTCATGACACTCAGAGAGATGTTTTAGTAACTTTCCTGAAAGTACTTCTTAATTATTCCACAGGTTCATGAACCACCCAGCTCCAGCCAACAGCCGCTACAAACCCACTTGCTATGAACATGCTGCTAACTGTTACACACATGCAGTAAGTACACTTCTGCCTTCTTTTTCTATTTTTTCTTTAACCAGATGTTTCAATAAATTTTTGTCTGTTGTAAATGCTTACCTTTGCCTCACTGTGTTCATATCTACAGCCTCTCTCTGGTTTTGTGCATATAAGCATTAACTGTAACAGTACAGAAAATTAGATGTTTGGTAATGTTCCGAATCTCCTGGAGCTCCAGACACTTCATAAGATTCATTTTCACCAATGTTAGAGGTCTTTAACTTGATATTTTCCCTCTGTTCAGTCAAAGGATGCCTGCAGTAAAGGGGATATAGGCCACTACTAGTTAGCCTGCAAGGTGGATTTCCCAGGTCTGCCCTGACAGAATACTGTGCAAATTGTAAACTGGAAGTAAAAGAAAGATTTATCCATGTGAGAAATGGCAAGGCCTCATCAGACTGTCTGTGGATATGAGCAACAAGAGCTGGAATGTTTTAATTCTGATACCTACTGACTCTTCAAGAAATCTGCTGTTTTGCAAGAGGCCCTGATAATGCTGACAGCCCTGCTGAAATTTCAAGTCTTTCCTTATTTTCGTGATGTAAGGACTTATTCTAGATTTGAATATGTGATATTCACATAAAAAAGAACAAAAGCAGTCCCCTTTGATTTTTTTTTCTTTTAGTAATTAGGAAGTTTAATTTGCTGTCTGGCACTTTGAAAAGGACTTAAAAATGTGTCTGTTTGCTTTTTAAGATAGCATTTGCCCTTTTATAAAGGCAGCTTGTGCGTCTCCTCAATCCCTCAACTCTAAACATCTGAAGTATGTTTGACTTTGTCCTCAGTCTCTTATCTCCAGTGTGTCTGAGTGAGCTGCAGATATGAAAGCTCAAAGTTGTGCCCAGGACTCTTCAGTTCTTGCAGGAGCTCTGTTCTTAAGGATCCCTTGTATGTATTTCATAAATAACCAACGTACAGCTCTGTGGTGCTGGTAAAAACAGAATCACCTTGGTTTTGCGTGTAGACATAAAGATGACTGAAACTTCTGTGTTCTTAAGCCAAAGGTCTCATGTACAGCGTTATGTAAATATATGCTTATTTGCCTAGGGAATGAAGCAACATTCTGTTAGTTAGCACAAATGCGTAGTTTATCTCATAATCCTTGTGCAAATCTTGTTCGCTCTGGCCAAAAAGTTAGATTTCAAAATATCTGGCAGATGTTGCTGTGCTCCTAAGCAATTTCAGCTTTCACCTAGTTGAAAAACAGGCATGTTTTACTCCCTCCTTTTAGCAGGACATGACAGCCAAGGTGGATCAGTGTTTTCTGGTAGGCTGCAGTTGTGGTGGAGCTCTCTGATTACCTTCTAAACAGTCAAACTACCTGCTAAAACCTACAATGAACTGTTAAAATAAATGTGCAATAACTTTTCATCAATATTTAAAGTCTTGAAATGGGAGTCTAAGCTGGGAAAGCACAGAAAAGCTAGGGGGGATGTTTTCATCTCCTTTGTGTTGCAGACTTACTAAATGTTAGATGGTCAAGTGGCTGAGTCTTTGCTGCTAGATTACAGTGTGAGTTTTCAATTAGACATTGATGATTCTATAGAACAGAATTCAACAATGGTTCTCCACTATATTTTTATTCCAAACTTTTATTCATAATTCAGGAAGCAATCAGCTTCTACTAAAGTAGCGTGTGGCTGTACTTCTCAGTAGGTATCCCACCTGGTTTTGAACTTAAAAATACACAGGAATCAGTTTATGGCAGCTGCTTAATAAAAAACAAACAAGTAACAAAAAAAATAAGGATAAAGGAGGGTATAGAATCCCAGGCACAACCTTTTGGTACAATACTTAAAAGTTAGTTTTGTGTTGCATAGTAAGGTATCTTCAAATTTCTTACTTGTAAGGCTATTTTAAATGTCTTGCTTTTTTTTTTTTTTAGCTTTAAATGAAGCATTGACTTGCCTTCTGACACTGGGAGAGGAATGGCAGCAAAGTAGTTGAAAACAGACAGAAAAAGCTGTTCTCTGTGTTCAAAGGAACAGGAAGGAAACAGTGCATGAGAAAAGCAGGGGTTGTGAGAATTGGAGGGGAGAGATGACTCTTTCATAATGAAGCTTTCTGGTCTATGTAAGGTTTATCAAACAAAAGGTAGACCTTGTTGTGTTAAAACCTCAGGATTTAGACATGGCTTGCTTTATACTACTTTAAATGTTTCTTCTAACTGCCTTAAAAGGAGTAACTATTCTTAAAATTAGTTATAATCTGTATTCCAGGTTGGGTTAGTGAAGTGCATGGAAGAACAGAAGTAGTATAAATTTTTAAAAAGTGAGACTTGGAGCATTTAGGTGGCCATTTGAGCAGGGAAGAAGGGGTGATCAAAATTTCAGGACTCTTCTGATGAAAATGTCTCCATTCCCACTGACTGGTATAAGCAGTTTTTCTGCTCTCTGTGTGTTGCACAACCCAAGTTGCTTGTGGGCCTCTCACTCTGTTACTGGTCTCCTAAAATTAGGTGAAAATTGAAAAGTTGGGAGAGATGGTAGCAGGAGTGCACTCGTGGAGCAGGCAGCAGGAGATGGGCGCAGCAGGAGATGGGCACAGCCCTTCACGGGTCCCTCTAAGTGTCACATTTTTGGGGGGCAGGGGTGGCAGCTTTATTGCTGTTTCTGCTGCCTTCCTTTCTAAAAAAAAGGAAGTGCATGGACCATTTTTGTGCCCTCAGTGTTTCCCTCCCAGTGAGAGGCTCATGAGATTGCAGCAGTAACACCAACCACACTGCTGCAGTGGCTCGTGCATCAAAGGGCATTGTTGCTGCCTGCATGATGTGCAAGGTGAATAACTTCATTTTCCAGGAATGTGATATACAAAAGCAAAACTTCCAACAGGTTTTTAAAGCTGTCTGTGGCAGAGATTGTCTGGAGAAATATGGAAAGAATACAGGTAAAATGCTGACCAGTGGAGCAGTATCCTAAGTAACCCCAGACAGGTGAAAGGTACTGGGTATTTTGCTGTAAGTTGGTAACCAGAGAGTGTCATTTCACTGAAGTGACCCTGATCAGATTCACAGCTTTTTGTGTCAGCCTCTTCCCTTGTGCCTTAAGGGTTTTTACTTGTTGTAAGAGCAGGGCTTGTGGTAGTTGGTTTCCCAAAATGCACCACACAAAGGTTGTGCTGAAAACTATTCTGAAAGATTACCACCTGTAGATGTAAATTAACATATTTTTATCCTTCATCTTCCTCCTTATTGGAAAGAGCTTTTAACTTCATTCTCTTATTTTGTTCTGACATTTCTCTAGAAAGCTTAGGAAACTGTTGCCTTCTCTCTTGTTCTGCAGATCTTCCTTCCAGCCCCACTTCTGATGAAGCCAGGATTAATCACGGTGCTAAAATTAGTAAATTTGCACATCACAGTTCTGGGTTTGCTCACAGTACATTAAGTTACTGGGTTTGATGATATTCACTTGGAAGACTTGCACTCTGTGATGAAATAAGCAAAGATTTTGTGACTTGTAGCTGGAATTTTTTTCAAGGAATATTGGCAACTAAGAAATGCTTTGTCATGCTGTAAAATGACACAGCACAATCCCACTCATTCTGTTAGTTCTGATTCTCTGACTGCTTTTTTGATAAACTCCCCTCCTCTTAAAGGACTGGTTAATGGCTGTTCCATTCTGAAAACTGGAGATTAAAATGCAATTATTGTGCTTGTGATTTTTTTCAAATGAACTTGGGAAAATGTGCCTTTTTTTTGTGAGCTGAAGTTTTGTATTTCTTTTGTAAGATGGATAAAGCCCATTGTACCATATGTTACCTGTTATGGCATTGCCATCTGAAGAATTTTAATCAAGTTGGCTGGAACAGCAGGGTATCATTTCTGGAATTTGTATTTAATCTAGCTATTTTTGGCCAAAAAAAAAGAGTAATAAAACATCTCTTGTTTCGTCTGACTGTTCCCATGGTGCCTACCAAGCACGGAGAGGAAAAGGTTCCAAAAAGAACACTTGGAAAAAACAATCAGTCCTTTTCATGGAATACAGTGCTCTTGCCTGTGAGAGGTAGATTTGTTCTTTAAAGCAGGACAAGGCAAAAAAGGGATTAAAGTCTTCATTCACGTGCTGCACTCTTGATTCTGAAGGTGCAAATAAAGAGGTGATAATAGAATTGCTTCTTTGTTTTAACTGTATCACTTTATACACAATAATTACTGGAAAGAGTGATTGACACTGAACTTTGTTTTGGCCCATTTGAGCATCCCATGTCACAGCTTAGCTTGTGAAATATTTATTTGAGGAGATTAGTAAAAAGCTGGGGTCTCTGTGTAAGAGAGGCAGGTTATTCTGTGTAATATCTAAATCTAAAGCCCAAAGAGGTCTCTTTTCCTGTGAAGTGGTCTCTGTCAGAGTCCCTGAGCAGCTCATGCCTAGGCTGTTATAGGGAATTAGTAGGAATTTGCTATTTTACCTGGTATTTGTAGGTATTTAATCTCTGAAACCTTTTAGTTCTCTGTCAAGTTTAGTCAAAACTGGAATTTGCACTGAAAGTTGGAAAGGAAACTGAGGATGCAGTGGGATTATACAGCTTAGAGCCATGGCTACACCACCATTTCTGGGGCTAAGTATCCTCCTGTCCCCTGCAAAAACTAAATGAAACAGTTGTCACATCTCATCAGTTCCTGGCTGTGCCAGGGGCTTCAGCCACACTTCACTCACACTGTGTGTCATGTGTGGAAAACAGGAGTGGCTGATCTCCTGAGGAGTGACACATTCCAACCTTCCCTGAATTTGGGGGCTATCCAGGATGTGTGCAGGAAACTTAGGGTTGATGATAAATGATAAGCCAGGCTGGCAGACTATTTCTGGCCTTAAAGTGCACCAAGTCAACTTCCATAGTTCCATTACAAAGCTCAGGAAGTGTTTTCACCTCTAGTCCCAATGCTGTGAATGTATCAATGCCATACTTTTAATTTCCATGGCTCTACAGCTTTTGGCACAAATACACTGAATTTTGCAAAACATAAGGAAATTGAGTAGTAATGAAGCTACAGCTGGTATACTTCAAAGTCAGAAGGAAATTGTTATTCTCAGATCCATTCATGTTATTGTTATTCTCAGATCCATTCAGTTTGCTCTGCATCCTCTGCACTGAGCAGAACCTCGATTTCCTCTGGTCTGTAATTAGATAAAGGACAGATAGCTCAGGCTAGACTAGAACTCTGCAGTCTGAGCTATCAAACCTGTAATGCAAAGTGGCCAGATTTGTTTAAACATTGCTTGTTCCTGGCTTTATTGTTTAACATATGAGACTTGGGTTAAATTGCCAGGAATTTAACCCTAAGAAGCTTATTTGCAATTCAAGGGAACAAATTAGCATTTTAGACTTGCTGTGGGGCCTGGAAGAGAATTTGTGCAGTGTTTGTAACTTAGAAGGCTGACTTGATAGTGGATGGAGATGGGTAGAAATAGCTTTGTCAGTAAGCTCTCTTCTTTAAGTACTTGGACGTAGGGTGTTTTTTAGGGTTTTTGGGGTTATTTTCTTCTTCTCCCCCTTTTCTTTTTGCCTTTTCCTGAAGGAGATAGAGGTACATCAGGTATTTTATTCTGGAAGGGAGTGTGGTTTTAAATGTATGCATTTAAAGCCTGCAATCACTTCTTGGATGCTTCATGCAAGTGTGGTAATGTTATCATGATGTTTGAACAGGGCCTGTTTTGGAAGAAGTGAATTAGAAATGCTTTGAGAGGGAGGTGGGAAGGAAAACAGAGTTGGATATGCTGCATTAGAAGAACACCTTTGTGCATTAAAAATCTATTCATGAGAGAAGTTTGCAGCTAATTTATTTATGGTAGCTTAAACCCAAGTTCTGCAAAATTATTGCTTAATTCTTGCAACTGCACTTTGCTAAATGCTTTGTTTTTTCATTTGGGATTTGAGTTTATTTTGGTCTGTCCTGTGCTCTGTGTCTATGCACAAGAGGTGGCTTAAATTCAAGCCTAGAGTAAGATCAGTTTGGTTTTAGAACATGAGGCTGAATGTGAAATTAAAACCACTGCTAATACGTACAAAATTAGACAAAAGAATTTGCTGTCATGGCTAGAGGAGTTGGTAACCTTCCCTGGTACCATGGGGGGAGAAATTTAGCAAAACCAGATCTAACCTATGCCTGAGACATCGATGAATTTCTGGTGCTGATGTGTCAACTTAAAACCAAAAGACAGAACTCTCTGGCTGGGGCCGGGCTCTCTGCCTGCTGGTGCTGCTCTGTGGGTGGCACCGCGGCAGGGACCCGACAATGCCTTTTGTTTTGGCAGTTCCTGATCGTCCCTGCCATCGTGGGCAGCGCCCTCCTCCACCGGCTCTCCGACGACCGCTGGGAGAAGATCACAGCATGGATGTACGGGGTGGGGCTCTGCGCCCTCTTCATCGTCTCCACCGTGTTCCACATCGTCTCCTGGAAGAAGAGTCACCTAAGGTAGCAGGGGAAAATGCTGCACTTCTTGGGATGTTTGCCCATTGTGCTTCTCAGTCAGACCAATTTTACAGAGGTTGGAGTGGTACTTTCTACTGAATCATGATAAAAACACCTGTGGGATTTGCATTCTCTGAACCTGAGAGAAGCAGAGATAAGAATGATCAAAACAATTCTCATCTCATTTGCTGCTCCTGTGTTGTGCCAAAGTAGAATGCAAGAATGCAATATGGAGATTGTTTACCCAAAGTGAGGGTGTTTTGTTTCCTTGGCCTATCAGGGCCAAGTGTGTGTGTGTGTGTGTTGGGACTGTCAGCTGACAGCTACAAAATTCTGGGCAGTTGAGTTGAGCTGGGTGCTTGTGCAGATTCAGTTTAATGCAGTGTAATACATATAGAATAATACAGTATAATAAAGTAATTAATTAACCTTCCGATATCAGTGGGGTCAGATGCATCATTTCTCCCTGCCATGGGGGTTGCCTTGGTTCCTATAAACACCCTTGATTTTTTTAGAAGAAATAGTGAGCCAAGCTCATGTACCAGTGAACTTGAATGTCTGCTGCCTTGTCACAAAGAAAATGTGTTTTGGTAGGCCCTAGTGGCTCTTAATCCAGAAGCAGAATGAGAAAAACATAATGTAGGTGGTTGATGGATAATATCCCATTGCAGACATGAAGACACTGTCTGGGACTATGGCATGCTCAGGTGCTTTGAGGAACACAGCTTTTGCCAATGCCCAGCTAACCAGCAGGAAACCTCCTTGGGACCAAGGCAGCAATAGCAAAACTGACATGGGATTTATTATTTTAATTTTATTTTATTTATCCATCCCTTGTAAGACTCCCTAAATAATTCTGGGCCATAAATTGGATAGAGCCAGTAGTCACTAAATAATAACAGTGTCTGGATTAGGCAGGGATGCAAGGTGGGGGTGGAGAAGGGGAGGGGACTGGAGAAGTGCTCAGCTCTTATGTGTCTCAGTGTCTCCACATGGTTGTAAGAGGGATGGAGGTGATGGTATTTTCCCCAGAGTAATTCCAAAGCATGTCAGGAAAGTGAGGTGATGCAAAAATCTTCCCAAAATGTGTCATGGTGACCTGTTCTGTCTCTCTGTCCCTAGGACAATGGAGCATTGCTTTCACATGTGTGACAGAATGATGATCTATGTCTTCATTGCAGCATCCTACGCACCATGGTAAGAAATGGGGACCACAGCTGCAGAATGAAAGCTTTTCCAAAGTAAAGAGTTCATTGTTGCAGCTTTCCAAAATCTATAGATGGCTTCTTGGATGCAATTGACCACATTGTGTTGTGACAGACATTGTAGTGTCAGCTCCTGGGCCTTGCTGAACAGAAAGTGATGCTAGAAAGCATCAGAAAGTAGTTTATTTATACTCCACATATCTCAGTTCATGCTTTCCACCCATCAATGCAAACACCTTCTGCCTCTCTGTGGGTAGAACGTCCCAGTGTTTGTTCCCCCATCATTCTGTAGTTAAAGCTCTGAGTATTTATTTGTTTTTATTAATCCCCACTGCTATTGTGTTAGTTTACTCATCACTTTTGTCTCTTGGAACCTTTATACCTCCAGGTTAAATCTCCGTGAGCTGGGACCTCTGGCATCTCACATGAGATGGTTTATCTGGCTGATGGCTGCTGGAGGAACCCTTTATGTATTTCTCTACCATGAAAAGTAAGAATTATTCTTTGCATTTAACTTTAAACTGAAAATTATCATCAGGGAACAAGACCAAACTTTTTTTGTTTTGGAGATGACCTGCCAAGGTTCTCATCAAACAAGAAAATTTAAGTTGCCTCAGTGTTTTATATTCTCACTAGTACTAACTACACGTGAAAGTGTCTGGGCAGTATTTAGAGAAGGTATTGCCTGCAACTCTACAATGCAGAGATAAACACTAGTTTTAATTTTGTCATAAAACACTATAACCTATCTATCTGCATGAAAACTTTTTGTTTAATGACCCAATACCAACACATAATTTAAAATATTCATTTTTGCTGTTGAAGGAAATGTTCATCCTTTTGTACACCACCTTAAATTGCTCAAATCATTCCTTTTTAGGTATAAGATCGTTGAACTCTTTTTCTATTTAGCGATGGGATTTTCTCCTGCTCTGGTAGTGACATCCATGGTAAGGAATGTGACTATTAACAGTGCAAACAAACAAAACTTGCCTTTTATAACCAGCTTAAATTCCAGTGCAGCTCTTTCCTCTGCAGAGATGTTCATTTTAGTACACTATACTTGTAAATGCTCTTTGCAGAGCAACCAAATACAGCCTGTCGTAGTTTGGATTTATAATTCACATTTCAGTGAAATGCTGCCTTGTTTTGTTCAATCTGGGCTGCATTGTGTAGATGGAGAGAGCCTGGGTTTCTTGGTGCATCTGAAAAGCATCCTACTCCAAACTTTTTTATAGTTGCACATTTTAAATGATGTTGATTAACCATCTCTGCTGCTAATATAAACGTGACACATTTTCAGGTTAATGCCTTAACTGGCTGTATCAAAGTCTTGATGGGAGGAGCTCTGCATTAAACTCACACTTCCACAGAGTAATGTGATTTTCTTTGTCTCCATGATTGTCTGCTCTGCTGATGAAGCAAACCATCAATCTTGTTTTAGTGCTTGAGTTGTCCCAGTATAAGTTTTCTAGTGCTATGGGGACATGGTATATAAGCACATTATTGTGCATTTCACAAAGTGTAATATAAATACACTGCATTTCTCACTTGTCCATCTGTCCCACCCAACATTTTCGGAGTTGTCACAGCCAGCTCCCTTTGCCTGGGGGAGAAAAGGTATTATGTAAACTGTGTATTTTGTCCATAAATACTCTTTGCCCCCTTTACACCCTGCCCCTGACCTGTCCTTGTTCCCTGGCAGAGCAACACCGAGGGGCTGCAGGAAGTGGCCTGGGGAGGTTTGATCTATTGCCTGGGCGTGGTGTTCTTCAAGAGTGATGGAGTGATCCCCTTTGCCCACGCCATCTGGCACCTCTTCGTGGCCACAGCGGCTGCTGTCCATTACTACGCCATTTGGAAGTACCTTTACAGAAGTCCTGCAGACATCATTCGTCACTTATGAGATCATACAAAACAATAATCTGCACTTGACCTCTGTAACAGTATTATTTGACTTAAAGAATAGGGGGAATTGGAAAAATTGCACAGCAAAACTGCACTGACTTTGGTAGTTCTGTGAACACAATTACTGTGAACTGATGTTTGTGTCCTGCCATTTCCCATCACATGGCAAGTGCTGTAAATAACCAAGATACTGTACTGCAGTAACCAAGAGTCCATTCCATGTTAGCAGAACTGGCTACCTGATGTTTACAAACAAATTTTTTATGCTAGTTTAATTTTACAGTTTTTAACTACGTGAATTTTTCTAAATTAGTGATTCAAATGGTGAAGTCAGTGCAATAGTGAAAATGTAATGCTCTTGACATGAAATTGGTTTCTATCACCTTTCCACGAGTCATTTCTTAAACATTAATCAGAGACAACTAATCTACTTTTACCACCCATTATCTTGGTATAATGTGACTTTTATAGAAATTTTTCTGTGTTTTTTGTAAACTTTAAAAGTACATTTATTGAACTGAAGACACACAATTGTCATCTATGCAGTTATTCATGTTGCAAACTCTTGCAAGAAATGGTTACATTCCACACCCTGTTCTGAGGAGCAAACATTGTACCTCTTCTGAAGTTTGTGTTGCAGCTGTAATTGTAATAACCACTTTTACAAACTAAAACCTAAATGTGATTCTGCTGAGTTCTAACATGGCAGCATTCTGCTCATTTACAGTACCACTGAACCAGACCTTAAGTTGGCTTTATTTGTGATGAAGAGCTGTAAAAGGAATAGCTGAGGTGATTTTCTCCTCCAAGTTCCCAGCTGTACCCATACTGCCCAGCGTGGGGGCTCGTGTGGAATGTCCCCCATCCAAGCCAGGGATTTCCCCATTTCCCAACTCATTTCCCCAGCCCCTGCACACACACGTGGCACTGAGACTTGGGTTTCCAAAGGGGCTTAAACTGACTGGATCCCCCAGCTTTTGGTGGGGTGGCTGTGCTGGGAAGCCCAGGTGGGAGCAAGAGGCAGAGCATTGCTGAGCACCTGGAGCTCAGGGCTCTTCACAAGCACAGCCTGGCAGGGAGCAGAGCTTGGAGGGTGTGCTAGGGTGTCACTTGTCATCCTGGGGCTTCACACAGAGTCTGACTGCTCTTTGTTACTGTCTGTCTGTACAGGAAATCCAGCTGTGGTAGCAAGTCATGATTGTAGGATGTGCTCAAATGACCAATGTAGAAGAGTCATTGTAATCCTGTTTCTCCAATAATTGTATCCTGTCCCACTATGTAATGAATGTCTTATATTAAGATTGACTTTATCCTTTTTCTAATTTACTCAGTTTTACATGTCAGTATTTAAAAACAAAACCAAAATGTGTTGCCTTTTTCAGATTTTGTTCTGGATATTGCCTGTCTGCAAACAATAAATAGCAAGATAGGGATGTTTCAAAGGTCCTGTTTCACTCAGATTTGCCAGAGGGCTGCAAGTTTTAGAATATTTACATTTGTATAGGGAATTTACCCGAGGGTCAAACTTTAAATTCAAGACATTGAAGAATTGCTCTGTGGTGGTAGCAGGTGAGCAGAGAAGTGGCAGCACCACAGCAAACTCAAACTGCCCCAAAAGAGCTGGGCAGGTAATTCTACTACAACAGTCTTGCAGATCTGGATGCCTCAGATTTTTAACATTGTGTCTATTTTAATATTTTCCACTTTTTGTGAGTCCATATATTTTGTTGAAATGCAGTACTGCTAAAACCACTAAAATACATGTAAAGGTTTTCTGTAGTCAAAAGTTAAACTATTGCTTGAATATGTTTGTTTTAATTTTAAGTTAATTTTTTCATGGCATTTGCTTTTTGGAGTGTTTGAAATGGTTTTTAAAAAGTTTTAATTCGCCAAAAATATTTTGAATTACTGTATTCTAGTCAATATGATATTGAATGTACTAGACTAACAATAAACATTTGGTGCAATTTGGAAACTCTTGTTTTCTTGGTGGTTGTTTTTTTCCCTCTCCATCATTTAGGCAGGGCAGTCAGAGACTGACACTGTGGCCACTCCTGACAAAAAGGATCCTGAATTGAACCTTAGAACCCCCATGTCTGCTCAGCCAATGCTTTAAAACCAGTAAGAAAGACTGTAATCCAAAATATTCAATTTTTACTATGGAAAAAATATATTTCTGTCTAAATTTTGGTCAATAGTTAGAACTTGCTTTTCCCTTTTGCTGCTCTGGGATATAAGAATATATTGGGATTTTTTCCCCCAATTTCAATGTTCTAAATTTCAATTTAGAACATTGAAATACATCATTTTTGCTCTTATCCCTGGAGGAGTATCATTGCATAAAATATAGACAAGCTGAACTAAAAATGTATTTCTGTCTGGAAAGCAAGCATATCAATTAGTCTTTTCTTTTTTCCCTCCATCTAATTGGAGCTCTCGAGGCTGATTCCTCTCAGGAGTAAGGATAGTGCTTTTTCCAGTAATGCATGCTGCAGTACAGAGATGGGATTTTTTGTCTTCCCAAGGCAAATGTTTTTAAAAGCACTTGCTTCTGTATTTTCTATGCCTCTAGGTTTTAGAAGTGCAACAAGTAGGCTGAATCTAAATAAAGCAGAGATAGCAAACATTTCAGATGGACCTTTCCAGAAAATGTCTGGGATGCAGCAGGTACTTTGAATACTGCATATATTTTTAGATCATGTTTTTATAACACAATATCCTCTGCATCAAAAAATAATTCTATTAAATGAAGGGCTACCTTTAAGGATTTATATTAGAGTGCTTGTTTGAATTGTATTGGTTTAAAATACAATTGAAGAGTGAGGAATGCCCAAAGACAATATGAATTTTTCTTCCTGTTAACAAAAAGAGGTCTAAAGGTAGGTAGGCTCCTGCTCCAATCCTGTCTGCTCCACATTCCTCTTAAGTATTTGTGATTACAATAAGAATCTCCCAGTTCTGGGTAAGGAAGTCCTTTCCAAGGAGGCTTGAGTGGCCTTGTGGGTCCCTTCCAACTCGGGATATTCTATGAAATGCACATTCTTGGGGCTGGAATGAGCAAGTTAAAGGGAAGATAGTACAATTTTTCTTTTTTTTTTTTTTTTTTTTCTTGCTTAAATGCCCCTCCTGCTCAGAACCTCTACACAATTCTTTACTTGGGTCTGGTGTGTTTAGCCACGAGATGTCCCTGAAGGCCAAGGCTGTCATGGTCACATCATGTGCTTGACTAAATCTTTTCTCCATGCTTTGCTATTTTTAAAGAGCACAGGATGTTGGGCTCTGCTGCTGATTGCTTTCACTCATCAATAGGTGCCATAAGGTTCAAGCTAAAAATAGTTGACAAAAGAGTGATCAGGATGGCACAGCAAAGCTGGCTCCAGGGTGTGGGTGCTCTCTGCCTTCCCTTTCTCAGCCTTGCCATTTGACCACTGTGCTCCAACAGCCAGAGCTGCTCCTCCATCCTGCTGCTTGGGAGTGTTTCAGTCATCATTTGAATAAATTCACCAACCATTCTCAGAGGGAAGGGAATGGACATAAGACACCTGAGATGTTCTCATGTAGCTCTTGAAAGCGTTGGGATGCCTTTGCTTTGGCATTCCCAGCACTGCCCAAGTGGCACAAGCAGCAGTGGTTTGGTGACACTGTCCTGGGGCTAAACACCCCCAGGCTGCTCAGCCTTGGGGTGGGTGTGAGCTTTCCAGGCTGCCTGGGGAATTCAGCACAGAGCCTGTGCCAGGTGCCAGCTGAACACACAAGAGGAGTTCCACTCACAGCTCAAAGCCCCAGGGAGAGCAGGGCTCTCTTGATAAAAGTTTTCAGATTCCTGTTCAGGTAGTGTTTGGTGGGTGGTGTTTTGGTTCTGAGCTGGGTGTCTGTTGCTGGGTTGTTTCCAGCCCAGGCATCCTCCTCCTGTCTGTGCTGAGCAGGAAGGGTGGCAGTGCTTGTTTCCCTTGCAGAACCAGGGTGCTGGCTCCTAAGGATAAGCTGTGGAACCAAAATCCTGTTGCAAAAGGTTGGCAGAGAGGCCAGTTTCATAACATAAGTCACATCATTGGCTAATGAAGCTCATGTGCTCTCAGAGGGATCTGTTCAGCTGTCTCTGTTGCTTAGCAGCCCCAGCCCTGCTGGCATGGATTTGAGTGCCAAAATCCTCTAGGTGCCTCTGCAAATCTCCCTTAAATTTTCAGAGCTGCAAAGCTGTTGGTAGAGACTGACTGAATGAGTGGCTGTAGCTCCAACAGGCACCTCCTCACTGTCTGGTGGGTGGTGGTGGCTTCCAGGAGAGGCCCAGAGGTGTGACCAGATGTGGCATGTGGCTCCTGTGACACAGCCAGCCAGCACTGAGCCATTCTCCAGCAGGACATTCAGAGCAGCCCACAGGATGTTTGGATGGAGAGCAGGAGTTATTCTGGATGTTGAAACACTGAAAGCCAACCCACAACACCTACTGAACATGGGGAACCTGTGGCACTTTTAGATTCAACTAGCAAGGATTTTGAAGCATCTTAAATGTTAGAGGATAGAACATTGTTGCTGTGGGAACTCAGCTGTCTTCTCTAATCAAAACCCATGAACATGGGAAGCTCAGGGTTGGTGCAGGAGGGGAATATTGATTTAATTTTATTTCTTAATACGTGTCTTAATATATGAATATGTTTGAATGGAAATGGCTTTTGTCTTGAAGCTGATGGTGGTGCTGAGCAGCTTAATCTGCCTTCTGCTCAAACACTGAAAATAAAGATTGAAGGGACTGTGAGATATTTTTAGCCCCTCCTCTGCCTGCAGGCAGGATGGACTCTGCCTGTCAGTCCTGACAGGCTTGTTCTAAAATGCCTCTAATAATGGGGATTTCACAATCCTCCCAGGCAGTTTATTTCAATGTTTCACTTGTTGCCCTCTTGATTTTTGTTTTTTTTCTGGCTGCCCAAGCACTGTTTTCTTTGCTGTACTTTAAGCTTGTTACTCCTTGTCCTGTCTGCAGCAGCTCAGAGAAGAGCCCTTCCAGGCAGGTTTTCTGTAGCTGGAGACTCACTTCTTCCCTTGCTTTCCTCTGCCCTAGACTTAAACAAACTCAGTCCCTTCAATCTTGCTTCCCTGCCGCCTTGTTTGACAGAGCCAGCAGGATGTTCCAGGCTCCAGACACTTTCCCCAGCTGATGTTGTGACACAGGGACATGAGAAATTAGTGACAGTGCAGAAGGAGGGAGAGGTGGAAGCGGGAGCTGTAATCCCATCTTTTGGGAGAGGGGCATCAAGGGAAAAAATTACCCCAAAACCAGCACACACAGCATCCCAAGAAAGCAGCTTTTCCTTCTGTGTAGCAATAAGGAACAAAGACACATGGACCTGCTTCTTGCTTGCTCCAGGGGAACACTTTATTGCAAAAAACCTAATTTTTATGCTCTAAACTTAAGCAAAACAAGCCAATAAGCAAATTGGCTGCCTGCCTCTATGGTGTTGCTGTTCTTGTGTCCTTTTACCCAACCATCTTTTCTGATCTCTCAGTGTCTCCCCAGCCAATCACTGCCCCCCACAGGAGGTGACCGCTCACCAGTCACACAATTTGTTCTCTGCTACATGATCTATTTTTTACCTTGCTGTTAGCTGAACCTTTCCCAGAGGGCTTTCTGGTGAGCAAGAGGAAACAGAAGTGAAGAGTATTCCTTATCTCCCACATCTCCCCTTTGTTTAATCAATAAAATCACACCAAAGACAATTATGCCATATACTACTAAATGTTTAAACCATACCCTGAAGCAGAGGTCATCTACAAGATTAGAAAAACCTGAGCAGATCCTGAAACATTTTCAGATGTAATATGACTGAGCAAGGAAGAAGGGGAGTAACCCAGTAACAACCCTTCAAAAACAGCAACATATGCCTTGACATGAACAATGTGCACATGGTATCAGTAGGGGTCATCATCCATTTGCTCTGTCCATCTTAGGGGGTAAGACATGGGCAGTGCCTTTGCCAGCCAGGACAGCACAAGGGGCTGCACACACCACAAAGGAACTCACTTCATGTTGTGACCTGTGGAGACACGAGCACAACCCCTGCCCCATGCCAATAGATCTAAGGGTCCTTTCCCTTGCCCTGTTAACAGCTCCTTTACCTTTACCATCACCAGAGGCCTGGCATGAGCCTTTGTATTGAAAGAATATTGTCTTTCACATGTTGTTTGGCCAACCTCATCTCAATTCAGAAAAATGAGAACACACAAGGCTTTTGCTGATCTGTCATTTGGGCACCTTGACTCCCCCTTGTTTTGTTTTTCAAGCATGGTTTTCAATGTCCTGTGGGCACCATCAACAATAGCCTGCCCAGTGGGAGAGTAGGGATAACCTGTGCTGTGAGAGACACCCCACTGCTGTAAGAATTGGCCAGTCTGGTCAGAAGTGTAGGCAGGCCATTGTCTGTTTTAATGGTGGCCAGGGGGCCTGAAGTGGCAAAGCAGGTGAGCCAGTGCCCAGTGACATCACAGGCCTTCTCTCCAGTGGGGGCAGTTGCCATCAAGAAACGAGACTAAGAGTCAACAGATGTGTGTGTCATATTTCAAATGACCAGATTCTGGAATATGAGTGACATGAGCTGGCCAAATAGAGTTTGGAATGG